AATAAATTGTATGTACAGGTGTGCTATAGATGGAATAGGAATAGAATAAAATAAAATAAGTTGTAGGGATGTACTAGGGTTCAGGGTGATAAATAAGTATAAGGTTATTGCACATACTGTACTTTAATTGCACAATAGGAGAACATTAACTGTTCATGAGGTAGATTGACTGGGGGAAGAAACTGTTCTTGTGCCTGGCTGTCCTGGTATTTGCGGCTCTGAAGCGCCGACCAGATGGCAAAAGTTCAAAAAGGAGATGGCTTGGATGTGATGGATCCAGAGTGATTTTCTGAGCCCTTTTCCTCACTCTGGATGTATACAGTTCTTGGAGAGTAGGCAGGGGTGCAGCAATAATCCTTTCAGCAGTCCGAACCGTTCTCTGTAGTCTTCTGATGTCTGATTTCGTATATTTCGCTATATTTTGTGCACAAAGCACAGGACTGACTTAATATGTAGTTGTGCAGTTTTTAATTGACCTTCAACCTTGTAACATTCAACCCCATTCAGAATGTAACAGGACTAGCATGACACATATTTAAAAAATTAATAGTTGAACTATTGCAGGATAAATATTGACACTGTTGACAGCTTTTGGGTTCATTATGTAAAATTGTAAATCATTTAACATTATATATATATATATATATATATATATATGTGTGTATTTCGTTAGCATACATGTAACTAGCACTTTCCTGTTTCAAATGACCAATCTCAGATCTTTTGGATCCGGTTGCATAAACTTTCATGTTAAGACTGAGTTTTAAGAACTAGTCTGACCAACTTTTGAAACTGTGTTTCAAAGTGCACGTTTTTGAAAATATTGCCGTTGTAGTCTCTGTGTAAATGTCAAAAATGTGAATTAGTGAAAACGGTCATGTCATGCGCACACATAGGCTATTACATGTTTAGTCTATAGAAATGCTTATGTGCGCAGATACATAGTGCTTCTTTACAAAATGACATCATCAGTTACTGACCTGGCATGAATAATTCCGCATTTTCACGGATCTGTGTGAATGAGGATCGTTTTGACAACAATGTCACCTGTATGCAAAACTGTTCAAAACCGCAAAGGAAAAACTTTTCTGTTTTCAGTACATTTTGTTGTGTAAACATACCCTATAGCTGTCACGAGATATAAGTGCTTATTAGATCCTGCTCACCTCATTTTTGCTGCAATTGGTCTTTGTGTAACAATATACATAGGTTATATTTATTCTTTTCCACAAATAATCCTTTCACAGACTCCAACTAATGAATAATCATTGAAAAGTAGAAATGTTGGTGTTTGAAGACAAAAAAAGGTTATATAACCTATAAACTAATAAAAAAAGAAAAAAAAAAAAAAGAAATCCTAATTCTCTTCAGGAATGTGTCCATTGTTAAATCTTAATCCTCAATTGTATGAGAGCAAAGCTGCTTGGATGATTGGGCCATTTGCACACACACTGCTCAGGGTTATTATAGTTTACAGAGAGAGAAAGAGAAAAACATATTTTATTTCAACTAGTTGACAATGTAGCATTTCTCGTTTCAATTGAGTCTAAAAATTTTACTGAAATAACCAAAACTGAAATCAAAATTACAATTATACAGAACTATACTGCAGCAGGGCCATGACCTGCCGAGACTCAGTAGGGTTTACCTGCTGTTTCAGACCATTCTCAAAGCTTTTTAATGAGGATACAAAATACAGAGTTCCAACTGCTTTGGAGCAAAGTCCAAAAGTCAAGCGTGTTTAGAATGTTTTAGTGAAGTATGAAAAAAGCTCCTTGGTATCACTTTCAATGAACCTTGAATAATAAAGTCACTTATAACGCATTCATTAAACTCTATTAATTATCTTAATTTATGTCAGATGAGTTGATCCAGATGGAAATCTAAAGCAACCAAAAACTAAAATTATCTTTGGAATGCATTATTATATATTTTTGTTAATTATCAGCTATTTTCTATAGTGATTTCCAAGTGATTCAAAACTTCCACTGGTACCCCCTTTTTTTGGAAACAAACAATACAATGAATAAATTATTTTTAAATGTATTAATTATTTAAAATAAATATGTGTATATGAGAATAAAGGCTGTAAAATATCAGGTTCTGAGCTTTTCTTGGAGCAAAAACAGTCTCTTTTAGCAGCATGCATTGAGCTGTGGGTGTCCCTTGAGCTGGCACGCTGTTGGAATAGAAATGTGCTGACCTTTTGTGTGTATGAGCTTTCAGAATAAACCACAGGCGTATGCAGAGACCCAGAAACACGTCTTCTCTCCAAGAGGGAGGATACTCCCTCTGCCCATGTCAGGTACAACACACTTTGGAACATGATTTGTTTCTCTTGGTTCCTTTGCTTTCCCAGATCCACCAATAACTTCAATTTTCTTCTGAATGGCTGGTTGAAGGGTTTCTGATTGGGAGGGGAGAATTAAACCGAACTAGATCTGAGAGGATTATCAGAGTAAGTCATTCAAACACATGAAAAAAGGCTTTCTCTGTTTAATGAGGTTTGCTTTTCCTTGTTTCGTTTTTGCATAACTATTTTATTTTTATTTGATATACATATATATATATATATATATATATATATATTTGTCTTTCTGATTTTTTTTTAAATATAAGGTGAGTTATGTTTTGTGTATTTATGTATGTTATTGTGTATTTATCTATGTGTTCATTCATTCTTGCATTCATTCATGTATTTATTTATTTAAAGTCTGAATGAAGTTTGAACTGTGTTTAAATTTGAGACACTGGATAAATCCAAGACCTCTTGGATTTGATTTGGATCATATAAGCTTCTTTTTTTTTCTTACTTTCTTTCTTTCTTTCTTTCTTTCTTTCTTTCTTTCCAAACTCAAACTAAATAAAATGTCTCTGGAAAAAATGACATTTGTAATTTTTAGCATGAAAATTATTAAAATTATGTTGGTTTTTACCTTCATTACAAGAACATAATTGACAAAACAACTTACATTAATTAAATAAATGTGGAAAACATTATTATTATTACTTATCAGAGTTGATAAATTATACGTTTTTTCATCAGAGCTGAATAAATTATCAGAGCAAAAATAAAAAAATACCAAAACTACAAAAATATATATATATTTTTTTTATCATATCATGTATATCATAATATCATCACATAATATCATGACAGAAACATGTCTGAGCCTGCTGCAGAGGACAATGGTAAGCCGACCAGCCATTCCTGCATTCCAGGAATAAAGGCCCCAAAGGACCCCTGTTGCTCCAGTCTAAAGGTACCTTTGCTTTTTCCTAAATGCAAGTGTGTTTGTGTGTATGTGTTTGTGTGTGTATATATATATATATATATATATATATATATATATATATATATATAGTGGTGGGAGGAGCAAACGACAGACACAGTGGGTGTGGTGTCAGGCATCGGAGAGGCTTTTATTTAACAGAAAATAAAACGTAAAATGTCCAAAACGGGAATAAAGTGTCCAAGGGGAGATAGTATCCAAAATAAACAGGGGATCTGGTGTCTTCATTGTGCGGGGAATTGTGAAGGAAGGGCAGTATTCAGAAAGGAGGGCTCCAGGTAGGGGGCTTCATCACAGCAGCTCATGTTCCCTGGTCCGCGGCGCTTCAGGAGATTAACGGCCCCGAATCCAGGCCCATCGACCGGGTCACGGGTGCAGTTCCATTCCGGACAGAAAGTCCAGCAGCTCGTGTCTCTGGTGGCACAGGAGTCCCTCTACGCTCCTAGGGGACTAACGGCCCGGCATCCTGGCTCGTCGACCGTGTCACGGGTGCGGTTCCATTCCGGACAGCAGGTCCGACAGCTCGCGTCTCTGGCGGCGTGGGAGTCCCTCTACGCTCCCCTCCTGGACCCACGAGGACACCAGCGTGCATGCACAGGGGGAAGAGACCCGTCTCTTGAGGAGAGGCGTGCTCGGCTTTTAACAGGTGTGCCTCATCACACGCCGCCTGGCTGTTTCTGCACCCCTCCTCTCACACACCCACTCCTGTCAGGAGCCTGGTGAAGGGCAGCGATTAAAGGTCCCCTGAAATGCTTAGAAACACGCAGCGTTACTCTATGTGTTGACGTAATTTTAACTGAAACAGGAAGACAGGGCGGGACATATCAAGCAGTCCCGCCCCTTTTTAAAATAGACAATAGCGTTCGTTTATATCGCAGCTTGAGCTAGAGCCATTCAGAGCCGTTGGGCTCCGTAAAGCCACATTTGACAGGGTATGCCAGCCACAATCTCATCCATATTGCTATAAAATATAGCATTCTGTGTAGAATTCAAATAGCTCCGATACATTTTGTGGTCTGCGCCGACTCGCGCATGTGATCCGCTCCATGCTATCCTGTCTCTGGACCGGAGCAGAGTGTGTGTGCAATTATATATATATATATATATATATATATATGTGTGTGTGTATGTGTATGTGGTCATTCTAATCCATGTTTATGTCACCAAACATTTTTTACTAGTTTGAATCATTGATTCTCTTTCCATTTGATATTTTCTTCAAGATTTTTATTGTGGCCCTTTCCTTCGCCTACTTTTCCAAAACTCTGTCTGGGACCTACATGAAAAGCGCCATCACTCAGATTGAGAGGAGATTTGACCTTTCCAGCTCCGTTGTGGGCCTCATTGATGGAAGTTTTGAGATGGGTTTGTATAAGGGTCCAAAAATGCCTCAGCAAAAATTACCCAATAATTGCATAAACATCTCAGGGTTAAGTATGTAACCCAGTTCCTTGAGAAGGGAACGAGACACTGTGCCAAAGTTAAGTCAGAAGTTAGAAGTCAGAAGTCAGAAAGAGCTTTATTGGCAAGTATGTTTACACACACAAGCCGTTTGTCTTGGTGACAGGAGCTTCCAGTGGAGAAGAAAGTACAGACATAGTGCAAACATGCATTGGAATTACACAGTAGAGATTAAATATAACATTAATATAAGAAAAACAGAGAATTAAATAATGCAATATAATGCAGAAGTAGAAATATAGAGAAAAACATATATAATTGTTTTAATGAATGTACAGATATGTTATTTACAAGTGTACAGTTTATGTAGTTTACAGATGTAGAATTTTCTGATGCTATGTATTAATGTCAACTGAAAAAGGTGCAGCACTCACTCTTGAAGGGATGACAACTTTATTGATTAAAATGACGTTTCGGCCATTATCCAGGCCTTCATCAGATATGATGATGTCTGCAAAAAGGTGCAGCACTCACTCTTGAAGGGGTAAAAACTTTATTGATTAACCCGCAAAGAACGAGACAGCCGCCCGCAGCTAAAAATAACTATTGTTCTTAAATATTTAATAACTTTTGAACCGCTAATCATGTCTGAATTCTTTAAAAAGTGTTGTAAAGCGCTTTTCTGAGATATCTCATTTGTCTTATTTGGATATTCAGAGGCTCCGTGATTACGTCATCACATTTTGACAACATTGATTCGTCAGAAAATAAACATAGGTTTTGGTCTTTTGAACCACCATTTAGGATTTTTCATTGTAAATTTGAACAAATGCAAAGTGAAAGTAAAGTCTGTCCTAAGTGCATGAAAAACACAAAATAACATATTTGCATGAGAGAACTCTCTGAAAAAGCCCAGAAAAACACACGACTGAGTACTTTGACATAAAACAAACCAAAAACAAGGATGAAACAGCGGTACATATTGGATAAAGCACTGGAATTTATGTCTTCACGTCGCTAGGCGAAATGATTCCGATACAGATACAGCCAGCGGATCGATCCATTTATCTTATGTATATTATGTAAATAATTCCTATATAGTTCATAAAGATAATTTTCACTATTTTTTTCTGTTGCACTCTGTATATTTCTCTCTCATTTTGTGTGTAGTTTGTGAATCATTTGCACTCTTTGTATTTTTGTTGCAGAAGACAAATTGTGCAGTTATTTTCACTCCTCTATCGTTAATAGAGCACCTCCTCTCAGTAATTTTGGCTATGTATTAATGTGTAATTTATAATGGACAATGTATAGTTATGAAAGTTTTAATTTTTCAGGCTGAATATAGCCTGCAGGAAAAAGCAAAAAAACTCTGCTTTGTAGCACCGACCAGAGGGCAACAGTTGAAATAGAGAGCGGGCTGGGTGTGTGGGGTTCAACGTGATTTTACCAACCCGTTTCCTCAATCTGAAGGTGTAAAGATCTTGGAGGTTGGGATGGGGGGAATCAATAACCTTCTCAGCAGTCCTGACTGTCCGTTGAAGTCTCTTGATGTCTGATTTGGTAACTGAACCAAACCAGACAGTTATGAATGAACACAGGATGGACTCAATGATGGCCAAGTAGTACTGTTTCAGCAGCTCCTGTGGCATGTTGAATTTCCTCAATTGTCAAAGGAAGTACAACCTCTGCTGGGCATTTTTAGCAATGGAGTCTATGTGAGTGTCGCACTTCAGGTCTTGAGAGATGGTGGTGCCCAGGAACCAGAATGTATATACTGCAGCCACAGTGCTGTCCATGATGGTGAGTGGGGGGAGTGCAGGGGGGTTTCTCCTGAAGTCCACAATCATTTCCACTTTTCTGAGCATGTTGAGCTCCAGGTTGTTGTGACTGCACCAGACAGCCAGCTCTTTAACCTCCTGTCTGTAAGCAGACGCGTCTCTGTTGTGTATGATGCCAATGATGGTAGTGTCATCTGCAAATTTCAGGAGCTTGACAGAGGGGTCTTTTGCAGTGCATTTGTTCGTATACAGGGAGAAGAGCAGAAAGGAGAGTACACATCCCTGAGGTGCCAGTGCTGATCATGAGAGTCCTGGATGTGAGTTTACCCAGCCTCACTAGCTGCTGCCTGTCTGTCAGGAAGCTGGTGATCCACTGACAGATTGGGGTGGACACGGAGAGCTGGGTCAGTTTGGCTGAAAGAATGTCAGGCATGATGGTACTGAAGGCCAAACTGAGGTCTTCAAACAAGATCCTTGTGTAAGTACCAGGTCTATCAAGATGTCACAGAATATAATGCAGTCCGATGTTGACTGCATCATCCACAGAACTGTTTGCTCTGTACGCAAACTGAAGAGGATCCAGCAAGGGTCCAGTGATGTCTTTCTGATAGGCCAACACAAGTCTTTCAAACGACTTCATGACCACAGACGTGAGAGCGAGATGTGATCCAGTGATTTTGGGGACCGGAATGATAGTGGAGTGTTTGAAGCAGGAGGGGACCACACACAGCTCCAGTGATCTGTTGAAGATCTGTGTATGGGGGCCAGTTGGTCAGCACAGACTTTCAAACAGGCAGGTGAAACACCATCTTGGCCTGAATGTTTCTTTGTCTTCTGCTTTCTGAAGACCTGGTTCATGTCCTGTACACAGACCTTAAGCGCAGATTGAATGGTAGGAGAGGGAGGGAGGGGGGTTGCAGGGGGGAATGTGTGAAGTGCTGAGCAGAGGGGTGTGAGCCTGGGCTTTTCAAACAGGCAGTAAATCACATTCAAATCGTCAGCCAGTTGTTGATTCTCCACAGACTGCGGGGGTGGTGTCTTGTACTTGGTGATATTCCTCAGACCAGTCCATACTGATGCCAGGTTGTTGGGGTTTTTTTCTCAGCTTTTCAGAGTAGATTTTTGTAGCCACTCTGATCTCCTCTGTTAGTCTGTTTCTGGCCTGGTTATGCAAGATTTTATCCCCACTTCTGTAAGCATCCTCCTTGGCATGACGAAGCTGTTTGAGTTTCCCTGTAAACCACGGTTTATCAAATATTGAATGACAGGAATATCCTGGTAGGAATGCACATATCCTCACAGAAACTGATATATGAAGTTACAGTATCTGTGAGCTCATCCAGATTGGTGGCTGCAGCTTCAAAAACACTCCAATCAGTGCAGTCAAAACAGGCTTGTAAATCCTGCTCTGCTTCATTAGTCCATCTTTTAACAGTCCTTAATACAGGTTTAGCTGATTTCAGTTTCTGCTGGTAGGTTGGTATGAGATGAACTAGACAGTGATCAGAGAGCCCAAATGCTCCCCGTGGGACAGAGTGATATGCATCCTTTATTGTGGTGGCACAGTGATCCAACATATTACTGTCTCTGGTGAGACATGTAAAGTGCTGTCTGTATTTTTTGCAGTTCACAGGAAAAATTTGCTTTGTTAAAATCTCCAAGAATGATTAAAAGAGAGTCTGGGTACCTTTGCTCCATTTCAGTTATTTGTTCTGCTAGCAGTTGCTCACACACTCATCTGGAGGAATTTGCAAGAATGAAAGAGGAAAACTGCCACGGCAAGTAGAAAGGTTTACAGTTTATGAAGAGTGCCACTAAATTAGGACAGCATATCTTTTTCAGTGTTGTTACATCTGAACACCAACTTTCGTTGAAGTAATTCCCATTCCCGGCGCCATCTTGATCTTAACACTATGGAAACAGGTTTTCAGCATGAACCAGTATCTGAGTCACGTGTACACATGCACCAATTCCATTGGACATGAAGTCAGGTGACCATAATGTAGCACCTAACTGCGCCCATAAAATGCCACCTGCAAACAGCGTCACAAGATTATTTTGTCTGAAGTAGCTGTGTAGGCGCACTTGAGGTATGGCACTGCAACTTAGCGTCTCTTTCCCTTCTCAGTAGAGGTCTCCTACACGACCTGAGCCCAGTGGGTCCCTAAATACTCTTCAGGTTCGGGTTAATGTTTAAAAAATATCTTCGGGTCGGGCTTGGGTTTGTTGCTAAAGTAAAACTATATGCAGTAGGCTACGCTGCTTTCATTGACGCACACACACACATCACTTGCACACAGAGAGACCCTCTTAATAACACCTTTGAAGCAGCCACACTATGAGTAGAGTGGGGTCTGACACCTAGAGGTGAAGCAATATGGTGTGTCTCATAGGCAAGTGAAAGTGCATCTGAAACCCAATGCGATATACAGTAGTCTGTTTGGGGGTCAGCAGAACCTTGGTTGTGCCCCCCAAAACAGACAAAGTGTTGATCGGTTTTACGTAACTGGCCTGAGTCGTGGACTAAAAGGCCCGGGCTGGACATAACTAATTCAGCTTTTCCTGCTCATGCATTTTGAATGGTGGAGGGGACCACACTTGAAGAATAATGGGAGGCAGTGTGGATGATGGCAACTTCGGAACTTAATCCGGCCTATGGTGCAATATCACCTTGACCAGTCCAGGGGCAAAGTCAAGTGAGGAGGAGGAGGAGGAGGAGGAGGAGGGGGCTACTGAAAGGGTCTGCAAGTCCCCTACCATCTTAAGAGAAGTTAATGTGTGACCAATAGAAGATTGATTCGTCACAGCATGACCCCGTAGCTGAATTAAAAGAACATACATTTAAAACTGCAGTGCTGCAGGAAACTGTAATAGATTCTAAGTTTCTACATTTTAGATTTATGATTATTTGTTATGTGTTGAATTTAAGTTTTTAAAAAAGACATTGCTGAGTGTGACGTCATATCATGACCGTTGCAGTGTCCAAAGAAATTTTGCCTAATGTCTAGTGTGTAAGTCTAGTGTGACTATAGCATAAGAGTCAGGAGCTTCTCAGAGGCTGACTCCGTGGGCTCAAAGGAGGCATCTGTCAACCCCTACAAAACCCTGTGCAAGAAACAGGATACAAGGTAAACAGGATACACTTTCAGGATGGCAGGGGTCAGCCCTGCTGAGAGACACTTTTGTAGGAATTTCAGTAATGGATTCAGATGACGTCCTTCACACCATGATGCAAAGAGATGCAACTTAATGGGGCAGTCGTGGCCTAATGGTTAGAGAGTCGGACTTGTAACCCAAAGGTTGCTGGTTCGAGTCTCAGGGTTACTGAATAACCAGTGTTCTCTTCCACCCTCAATACCACGAATGAGGTGAGACCCACCGAATCCCCAACTGCTCCCCGGGTGCCGCAGCACATGGCTGCCCACTGCTCCGGGTGTGTGTTCACTGCTGTGTCTGTGCACTTGGATGGGTTAAATGCAAATTCCGAGTATGGGACACCATACTTGGCCATACGTCACTTCACTTCACTTTAAGAGCACACTCCTGGTTGCCTGGGAGAGGAGGTCCCTCCTTTTTGGAATTTCCCAGGGAGAATCTCAGTTGAAAGACCAGAGTGTACGAGCTGGTACCCTTCAGGGGCCTGGGAGAGGAGGTCACTCCTGGTTGCCTGGGAGAGGAGGCCCCTCCTTTTTGGAATTTCCCAGGGAGAATCTCAGTTGAAAGACCAGAGTGTACGAGCTGGTACCCTTCAGGGGCCTGGGAGAGGAGGTCACTCCTGGTTGCCTGGGAGAGGAGGCCCCTCCTTTTTGGAATTTCCCAGGGAGAATCTCAGTTGAAAGACCAGAGTGTACGAGCTGGTACCCTTCAGGGGCCTAAGAGAGGAGGTCCCTCCTGGTTGGAATTTCCCAGGGAGAGCCTTCCAGGAGAGACACTAGATCCACAAACCAAACCTGAACCGAGCTACTAGTAGCAGGCATATTCCGTCCTGAGGAACCCTCTCTAGAACGCCCAGAAGCAGAGAGATTGGGGGAAAGGTGAACAGATGTAACCTTGGCCATGCCTGCACCACAGTGTCAATCTGACACTGAGCTGGATGTGTGATGGAGAATCAGAGGGCACAGATCCACTTCTGCTTGGCCATACTTATGTTATATGGACTCCACCACTTGTGAAGAAACCCTAAATCTATTTAAATGTTTTTAAGATGTTTTATTTTGGTTACTTTATTTTAGATGTGGTTTTACTGCAACATTATCTAACTACAACCAAAACTGAAATGTTGTAAAACATTCCTAGTAGTTGCTTTGCCTTCGAGCAATCTGATTAGAGCAATTTTTTTATACAGTAAGTTTTTGTACAAAATACCAACGTAGACTCATTAGAAGAATTGGCCACTACCTATATTTAGTAAAACTCCAAAAAAGTACCTATGTATACTATAAAATTTTCTGCCATTTGCAACTGAAGAGAACACTAGTGGCATAAAAAAAAACATAATATTTTATCCATTTTCTCATAAATTATTATTACAGAGGCAGATCACCAGATACAGCATTGCACTTGCGATGCAGATCACTCGAGTACAAGTCCTGTGAAACACGAGTAACAATAAAATAACTCAAAACTTGCAGAAGCCAGCTAAAATGGAAATGTTGCCACAGGCATGCTTTTTCCAATGAGCCTGCTTTGCGATGAACGATCAGTGAATTGACCATGGTTTGTCTGTTCCATGTTAACATAAACAAATATGCTTGCATGTTTTGTGAATTTTAATTTCTTTATTGACTGATTGATCTCTGAATGCTTTTCTGTAGGTAACCTGCTCTTTCTGGCAGTGGTTAGTCATTTTGGGGCAAGACTACACAGGCCGCGACTCATAGGGATGGGTTGCTTCCTCATGGCCATTGGCTCAGCTCTCACTGGACTACCACACTTTTTCATGAGGCAGTGGGTTCATACAGTATATACTGTACATGTTATCTCTCCACATTTAGCTTAGTTTCTTATTTGTTACAAAGCTGCTCATGTTTCTTTCTCTGTGTGTCGGTTATACTCCTTCAGGTACGAGTATGACACAGTAATGCAAGGCTTTCTAAATAAGACTGTCAGTATATCTCCTTGTCAGTATCCCATGGTTCCAAACAATTACTCAAATGCACACATTCAGTCGTCTAACAACACTGGAACAGGTAACCACTTCTCATTTAAAGTACCCCATTGCCTGATAGGCTTTAAAGAAGAATAACTCATTTAGCTTTCAGGATTTGAACAAGTGTTAAATGTCAGTGTGTAATTTACTACTCATGGTAAAAAAAAGTTGTTTTCTTTCAAAGATCTTGCAAAACGGAGTTGGCCAAGATGATCAAAAACACATACTGATTTCTACCATTTTAACCCTAGATTATGTGAAGGACACTGGATCTAGTATGTGGATCTATGTGTTCTTGGGTAACGCTCTCAGAGGAATTGGAGAGACACCAGTCACACCGCTTGGCATATCTTATATTGATGACTTTGCAAAAGCAGAAAACTCAGCGTTTTACATTGGTAAGTCAAATTTGGATACCTTTTTTAATCCCCATAGACTCTAGGACCTCTACTGTAGAGCCTAGAGGTCAGAAACTCTAGTGCAGAGGTTCTCAACTCTGGTCCTGAAGGTCCACTTTCCTGCAGAGTTTAGCTCCAACCTTGATCAAACTCAATTGCCTAACTGCTCTAACTGAATATCAGCTATTGTGTTGATACATATAGTAAATGAAACATGAGTTCTCCAATATGTCTAATGAGTGTGCTTAATTGTGTTAAATGTGCATTTAAAAAATATAAATATAACATTTATAAAAATGTATATTTTATAAAAATATATATATTTTAAAAATTTACCTGCAGATAATATAATATTAATGAAATTAAAGGCCACTTAAAGTGTATGAAAAGGCAGTACAGTTTTATTTACACACTTAAGTTTTACTTAAAGTTTTACTCTAAAGTACATTAAAGCAGAGCTTTTCAAACCTGTCCTGGAGGACCCCCAGCACTTCACATGTTGTGTCCCTCATCTAACACACCCGATTCAACTTATCAGCTCATTATTAGAGTGATAAGGGAGACATGAAACGTGGAGTGCTAGCTTGGGAGTCCTCCAGGACAGGTTTGAAAACCACTACATTAAAGTTAAAAGGTCTGAATTTCTCATACCTATTAAAGTAGTACTCATGCTTAAAAGTCTCTGATCTGCACTATTGTTAAGCACTTCTCGAAACACAGTTTCCATACGATTGACTAGAGCTGAATCATAAGTCTGCGGAGTGTCCACAGCTGTATCTGATGGAGAATCAAGGTACATGTGTGCCGGTAAACGAGGTTCACGACCATGGGCCAAGAAGAATGGTGAGTACCCAGTGCTAGAATGAGGTGTAGCATTAATTGACAGTACAACTGCAGATAAGTACTGGTCCCATTCACCACCACTATGAAAAAGAACCTTCGCTAACTGATCCTTTAATGTTCTATTGAACCGTTCTACCATTCCGTTACCACGAGAGTGGTAAGGTGTGGTTCTCTTTTTACTGATGTTTAATCTCTTACAGATGTCCTGTAAAATCTCTGACTCATACTGACGTCCCTGATCAGAGAACAATTCCTCTGGAACACCATGTTCAGGTATGTACTGGTCACACAACAACCGTGCCACTGTACTGGCTGTTTGGTCCACCATAGGATATGTGTTGACGTATTTAGTAAAGTGATCTTGCACCACCAACACATACCTATTACCGCTGGACGTGACAGGCAGTTCTGTGATATCAGTACACACAAACTGAAAAGGTCGTACAGCACTAATAGATTGGAGAGGTGCCCTTCGCTGAGGAACAGGTTTTTTCCGAGATTCACAAGTGTCACATGACTCACAATGCTGTTCAATGGCACTTCTCATTCCTGGCCAAAAACACAAACTCTGAGCTCTCTTCAGTGTACGTTCAGCACTGTAGTGTCCAGAACATGGATCACCATGTAAATAGTGTAACATGTCCTGAATGAGAACATCAGGAATGACAACCTGATAAGTTTGGGGTTTACCTGGAGCACTACAGGCTGAACGACACAAGACTCCACCCTTCAACACCATACGGGGAACCTGCCACCAAAGTTGTCTCAATTTCCCCTTTACTTGTCTAAGATTAGGTCTCTTTTCATTTTCAACCCAATTATAGACCTGTGAGAGCAAAGCATCTGTTTTCTGATAGTATGCAATGTTCTTTTCCTCATCACCCAAAGATGTACACAGCATCTGCACAGTAGACTCAGACGAACCATCATCGATTTTACATTCGGTCAGACAAATTTGTGACTTCACCTTAGGCTGACTTTCTGTACCATTGGCACCAACAAAAACAGCAGTCTGAGAAGTGAGAGGCAAGTCATCTGTTTGAATGGATACTGTCTGTGTGCGAGGTGTCGGAGTTGTAGATGAATCTACAGGAATACGAGACATGGCATCCGCATTAGTATGTCTCTTGCCATCTTTGTGGATGATCACCCATCCATACGGATCAAGCTCCATAGCCCACCGACCTCTACGTCCCGTGGGATCAATATCAAAGTTCAATTTTCTCAGGCCAACAAGAGGTTTGTGATCGGTGACAATTGTAAAGGAGCAGTTACTCAAGTAGTGACGAAAATGTCTGAATGACCAAACTATTGGCCACAGTTCTTTCTCGTAAGTAGACCAATTTTGTTCAGTCGAGGTAAGTACGTGACTAGCGTATGCAACAACTCACTCTTTGCCATCTTGAATTTGAGACAGGACAGCACCAATAGCTTTATTAGACGCATCTGTACTCAATGTAAATGGCTGATCAAAATGAGGGAATGCCATGACAGACAGAGACGTCAGAGCGTCTTTTAGTTGCTGAAAGGCTACTGAATATTCATCGGGCCATTCAAAACGCACGTCTTTGTGGGTTAGTTTGTTGAGAGGTTGAGCCTTAAAGGCATAGTCTCGAATGAAACGCCTATAATAGCTACACAAGCCCAAAAATGCTCACACCTCAGTAGCTGATTTTGAAGTTGGCCAATATCTCACTTTCTCGCTATGAGCTGGATCAAGAGACAGCCCATCCTTTGAGACAACATGACCCATGTACGTTACAGACGCCTTGCAAAAATTACACTTTGCAGGGTTAAGCTTGAGACCTGCTTCCCTGAACCTGGTCAAAATGTTTGTGAGGTTTTTGATGTGATCCTCAAAATCTTTACCCATACAAATGATGCCGTCCAAATATATGACACACTTTGTCCAATGCAAGCCTCTAAGGACTAGCGTCCTTAGGACGCTAGGACCTAAGGACCCTCGAGGTAGCGTGTGTGCATCAGTAATGGTTACAGAATTCAATTTGCGATAGTCAACACAAAATCTGTAGGTATTGTCTTTCTTTCTCACCATTACTATTGGACTTGACCAAGGACTATCACTATCCTCTAGTATATCTTCTGCTTTGAGTTTTTCTACCTGATGGTGAATTTCTGCCTTGAGAGCAGGAGAAGTCCTGTACGCTCGCTGGGAAATGGGAGTATCATCTATGGTCCTGATTTTGTGGGTAACCAAGCTGGTTCTACCGTAGTCCTGATCATGCTGACTGAAAACATCAGAAAAAGAGATTAGCAAATCTGTCAGACTCTTTTGCTGTGTCACCGATAGCTCAGTATTAGAGCGATCTGGCAGCACAGGTGACTTGGGCATTGACACTTGACTTGACACAAACACATTTTGAACATTTACATTGTTCACACTTTTCTCAATTAACACAAAACCATCCTGATCGCTCTCAGAAATGAAATGGAAAGTATCAATTGGAGTACCACAGTACAGAGAAATGTCATCTGCAGAGGGATTGACTACCTTCACATAAATTGAACCCTTATCTGCTTTTGTCACAGTCCATGCAAATCCTGTCTTGGAGTCTTCACGATAGTAAGGCTCAAACACACCTGTGTAGCCATTTGGCTGCAAACCTGTATGGGATGATGCAAGTTTTGCAGTGATTACAGCCTCTGACAGAGCAGGAACAACCGTAGTGGTACACACTGTCACATCCACAAGTCTCAGAGAATGCTGATCTACACCCATAAAGGATATGGAGTCCTCACCTAGCTGAAAAGACATGTTCTGCATGTTAATCACAATTTTGTGCATAGACAAAAAGTCCCAACCAAGTACAAGAGCTTTTGAGCAATTTCTGATCACTTGAAATTAATGTGACACTGTACGCTTTCCCAGAGTGACATTCGCTGACAATGTACCCACTGAATCTAAAGTGTCACCAGAAATGTATGTCAGAGGTATAAACTGTTTCACCAAGGGTCTTTGACGCAAGGTAGGAGTAGACATTCTGAAATCTTCACTGATAAGAGAAACATCAGCACCAGTATCAATGAATGCATGGACTATTGTGTCTTCGATGACAAGTGCCACATTTTGTGTCACGGCCTGACCAGTGTCTGCAGTCACATGATGTTCCACAACGTTACCAATGGGCCCGGTGTCAGCAGCAGTTGGCAATTGGCCCTCATTGTCAACTACTGATAGTTTCCCTGGCGCTGATGAACACGTGAAGGAGACTGGAAATGCACGTGACCAGGACTTGGAGACCGATGACTCCACCGCTTTGAGTAGCCGTCCGATGACCTGTCGCCTCGAGCATTGTCTGAACAAGAAGCACGATCCAGAGAGTCCCCTTTGCATTAGCCTCGTATGTGGGAAAAGCTTCATCCACCAAATGACTAATTTCTGCTGCGAAAACTTGGAGAGCCTCGCCAGGCAGGCGTGTGCGTGCATTGACATAACTTTGAAATGTGGACAGATAAACTCGTTTGCCAAAAACAGCTTTAATTTTTTCTTTCACTTGTTTATAGTCTTTCTTAATGTCACTAGGCAAACTGTCCCAGTAGTTAAAAGCAGTACTACCAAGTCAAGTTGGCAAAAACTTTGCTAACCTGGCGTTATCAAAATCAGCGCTAGCCTCCACCGTCACTTCAAATCGTCTGCACCAGTGGAGAAAATCTTCTTTCCCGTTGTCCAAAAAGATAGGCGGAAAATGTCAATTAAAGCGCTGCACTGCATGTGAACTACTTGCGCCAGGCAAATCGCGTGCTGAGTCTGCTTCACTCATTATAGTTCACAGTTCAGAAGTCACAGTATCCCACGATAATAAAATGTCCCAAAAAGTCCATTAAATTAAACAGGGATTACCCTATGAAGTTCACGTCGTCCTGTTTCTTTAAAGTTCCTGGTCCAACCGACGCTGTAATCCCCTGTGATCAGACACTGCTGTGAAAAACACACAAACAAATGTGTCCACAGTTGAAACACAAAGCAAAGTAACGTTAGACGTCACGGATAACAGAAAGCTGAAATCTTGCGCTCGATAAAAGTTTCCGTCGTGATGCCACATCCATCGCATTTTATACCCGTCGAAGAGAAAGTTCACTCATGTGCCATGCACGTCGTCCAAACCCGCTGCCACCAGAAATGTTAGAGGGCTGTA